TGAAGCTGGAGATTGACCTCTTGTAACCTGTAACCCCAGAACTGACCTGACCTTTGACATAGTTGTCTGTACCTGACAGCGAGCCCCATCCCCCAGCGCTGTTTAGTGTGCAGCTCGTGGGACCTTTTCACCAGCTCCTATATTCTTACACTGAGGGAGGACCACAGGACTCGCATTTATGACTGCAGACTACTTCCAAAAAATAAAAACAAAAAAAAAACACTTTGTGCTATTTGTATGGTTTTATATTTTCTATCCAAACGAGCAAACTGAGGTGAGAGTAATTGGTACTGAAGCTTGGAAGATATCTGTAAAATTTATATTCTTTCCCCTTGACTCAAACCCCAACCAAGCCTCATTTTGTTTGCATTGTAGTAGGTTCCTTTGGGTGTTGGTACAGTCACCCAACTGTCAGCTGTTAATGTTCATTGAAACAGCATTATAGCTATTTGGTGCTGATTGAACAGAGCTGGAAATTGTTAGGGGTGTCGAGTCCTGAGTTAAACCATTTTAAACTGTATAGATTATTAGAAGTCAGTTTATGCCTTTTTTGTATCCTTGTTTTATGAAATGTTGCTTGTTTCCCCAAATATCTATAGTAGTTATAAAGGAAAAAAATGCTGCAAATTTGGGTGGTCTTTTCTCCAGTAGAGTTTTCAGTAGACTCGAAACAGCTCAGGATAAACTGAAACGTACATTGCAAAATGATTATTGATTTATATCCCGGACTATTCAGAACAATTTAGAGATTGCCAGGAGGTTAGGCAGTTTTTTTTTTTAAAAAACGGAAGAAAAAATTAAATTTAATTTTAACCCTGTGTGAATAGTGGGCCAAGTAACTATTGATACCAGGCTAGTTCAGAGCCCATGTCCATGATCTCAGTTCAGAGTGCCGAGACCGTTTTCCCCCTTTTTTTTTTGTTTGGAGGAAGGTGAACTTTCACTATTGCTGATCTGATTTGCAGGATTGTAAGTGCACTTGTGGGTGCAGGCTGAATTGATAAGATTGATGTTTTCAATACAATGAATTGTGTGGTTCTGCCTGATTTTTGTTGGTGTCTTACAAAAGAATGGCAATCGTTCTGTTGACATTTGAAAATGCTACCCCCTACTTTTTTTAAATTTAACACCAAAAAAAAGTATGCAGCATGCATACAAAGCTGGTATAAGGACTCTTGTTGTGCTAGCCTTGCTGTCAATGACTTTGTGTTTGTGTGAGATAGGAGCTCAGTGTAATACCATGATTTGTTTTGGGTCACTGTGGGGATTAAATAAATAACTGAATATTAATCCTGTACTTGGTTTGTCTTGCTTTGTCTTGCTGTCACTTTTCCGTTACCACACTGACTTCTGATCCCTAAAGCTTTCCATGGTTTTAGGTATATAGTTCTTGGCATTGGAAGATTTGTCCATTGCAAGTGTCATTGTGATACTTTTTAATTTGTTTGTATCCAAACTATACAGTAATATCTCCTTTGTCTATAAAATGCTGTGCAGACCACGTTTCCTTGTACATCCATTTGGTCTGATATGAACCCGGGATATGCTGCTGGTGGCAAACTGGCATTATTCATGTGATGCAGCTGGGTACCTTTGCTATTCAGTGAATACATTTTAAATCATTGAATAAAAAATTCTGAGCAGTGAGGGTTTTTTCTTCATTTTAAGGAGAACCAAAATTTGTGGATAGTTAGGAAGGAATGCTTTTCAGATGCCTTTATCCTGAATGGAAACATTGCAGCTGGAGGTAGTTAGTCTGTCACAACTTTTGATAAGAGTTTCTGCTAAGTTCTTGTCTCTTGGTAGCAATTTTAAATTTGTGAGCTTTCAACATTAGCTTTCCAACCAGTGGAACTTTTTTCTATCCCATGGGATTTTGAATTGTGGAAATAAACTGAGCATCTCCAGTCTTTCCTCCTGAGCGATTTCCTGTCCTTGGTGAATTTTGTCCTGTATGTCTCATGTTACTTGATATCCACTTGTACTCATCAACTGTATTTTTATTTATCCAACTACTTCAAAAAAAGTTTGTCAAGCACAGCTGTTCTAAATCTACACTGGCTTTCATTGTCTTACTAAATGCTTCAGAGTTTGATTTTTAAACTGTAGATTTTTATGAACTTGTCCATAATTTGTGTTCAACTAGCCCAGTTTATAATAAAACACAACTGTGGTTGCTGGGGATCTAAAACAAACAAAAACATAAATAACTAGAGAAACTCAACATATCTGACAGCATCTGTGGAGGGAAAGCAGAGTTAACATTTTGAGTTCTGTGACAAGTCCTTAAGAGTCACAGGGTTTCCACAGGATTGTTGTCACTGGCTGCCTGAATGTACCCTGGAGACTGAAACAGTTAGAGGGTTCCCTGGGCAGGCTCACATGTAGAATTGAGTCTCTTTTTGTTAGTGAATTCTGCATCAGTTTTGTGTACTACTTTGGTCAAAACAACCAAGTCCTGGCAAACAACGGGCAAATGTCTCTGCTGCTAGGGAAATTCTAAATGTATATTGGGAGTGTCATAAATTGCAGCAGTTGGTTAAATCACTTATCCCTGGTAAGCCAGTCCTCAAATTATGAAATGCTGATTGCCAGCATTCTGTGATAACAAGGTGTAGAGTTGGATGAACACAGCAGGCCAAGGAGCAGGAAGGCTGACATTTCGGGCCTAGACCCTGCTCCTCTGATGCTGCTTGGCCTGCTGTGTTCATCCAGCTCTACACCTTGTTATCTCAGATTCTCCAGCATCGGCAGTTCCTACTATCTCTGCCAGCATTCTGTGTTTTCGGGTCTGTTCAAATCCAAAGCTCAGCAGAAAACTTATACAACAAACTGAATTTAGTTTATACCTCAAAATAACTGAGTTTTCTATAGTAAATAGAATATAACTATTTGCACTGTGTAGCATAACAGATTTGCATAATATAAAATCTTGAACTTCCCAGTGGTGGCAGATTCGCAATGTTCATCATTAAATGGTTTCTAGAATTAAGCTTTATCTCGCAGAATGCTTGGCACGCTGACTCCATTATAAGATTGCAGCAGCAAAAGAATTCAAATACATTTTTTTTTTGTTTTTGCATAAAATTGAAAGTACATTGTCGGGTAGTGGGTTATTAGCAGAGCCCACTGAAAAGTGTTGGAAAAAATTGTGGCAGGCAAGACCTATCATCTGATAGCAATGGATTTGGTATTTTCTCATACTTTCACCTACTGAGATCAGGCAGCCCCTCTAAGCTTCCATTCTGTATAGAAAATGCTTAAACCATCAGTACATCACCACGTGCCATGTATCCACAAATAAAAATATACAGCACAGGAGGTGGTTGTTTGGCTCGGAGCCCAAACCGGCTCTTCTGAACAGCAATCTGGTCTCTCTCTCTCTCTCTCTCTCTCTCACTCCACCCACCCTTTAGTCTCCAAATATTTATTTACTTCTGTTTTGAACATCAGGCTCTTTGCAATCCAAAACACTTGTCGCCACTTTTGTTTTTGCGAATTGTCTTCAGTTTGTGTAACCTTCAACCATTTGGAAGCAGTTTTCTTGTTGAATATGAGGAACTTGCTTGAATCAATAATGACTTCAGGTTCTCATTATTGGTATCAATAAAAATATAAAATCCTTGCTTAACAATTGCTGTTCTGGCTGGATCGGGTTTACCTGTAAGCTGACTGGAACTGGGTGAAATTGAAGCGGAATGAAATCACTGAAATGGATCACCTTGATTTGTACACCATACCTGCAACTATGTTTCAGTTGACAGCCATAGAAATTTGCATTATATCACTTTCAATGTTGTAAAGCATCCAGGTGCTTCACAGCAGCGGGTTCAGGTGCGTATTAACATTAAGGCACTCCCAGCAGTGACCAAAAGCTTTATCTATCAGCTCTCTTAGCTGTCTACTCTCCGAGGAGAGCAGTATCAACCTCTCCAATTGATCCTTGTAACTGAAGTTTCTTATTTTCGGAACCACTTTTGTAAACCTGTTCTGCATGCACTGCAATGCAGTCCCATCCTTCCTATAGTGGCCTGGAATTGTATAGAATACTCCAGTTGAGGTCCAACAAATAGGTTGTATAAGGTCAGCATAATCTCCTTGTTCTTGTACTCGATGTCCTTCTTAAAGCCTAAGATGCTGTATACTTCATTAACTGATTTCTCCACCTGTCCTGATGCCTTCAATGATCTGTGTGCATAGATACCAAGGTCACTGCTCCTGCACCACCT